AAGGGTTCATCTTTTGAACAGTCACATTCTTCACTTCAAGCCTGTTCCTGTCCATTGAGACATAGGGCAAACCTTTCTCCTCTCGCCCGTTGAATAAAGAACTGGAAGAAAAACTCGATGGTTGCTTGTCAACATCAGCAGCAGAGCTGTACAGAGAGGGTTCCTTCTCGATAACTTTCCTGCCCATATCCGTTGTTCTCACCTGTTGACGTTGATCATAAAAATCCTCGGCACAAGCACTGTCTGGAAGGGATGATGTGGATGAAACCTCTTTATTTGACTGTGGTACTGGATTTGGGGCCTGGTCTTTTCTAGAATTTCCACTTTTGGACAGACTCTTGACTCTGTTCATATTATGATGAAAACAATTAATATCTATAAACATGCATGTGCACAGAGAATGGGACTCCCGGACCCGGTTATGAACATAATATCAAACTCACAAAGGGGAACACATACCGATCGGCATATCTCAACGTATTGAGTGTGTGTTCACAAGATCCCGCATTTGGAGATATACAAGAGATCATGACTGTCTTTGAATTGCCAACGAAAGAGTCACGGAGTACTTCCGTAAGTTTACTTCCACGAAAAGGAATATGGATCTGGTCATTGTCCAAAGCTCTAATGCACTCTTTCAAAGCTAAAAGACTTTTGTTAATTTCTGCTCCTTCAATCCTATTAATTATTACACAAATTAGCAAAAAAGTGGAGATTTTTTACTATATGATCAGGTGTGTAATCTGAACAAGGAAAATGCCACGGGATAGGAACACAAGGAACTCGAGGAACCACTGATTTATCAAACCAAGTTCACAGCAGTTATAAGAAAATATAATTCTAAAACTTAGACATAAAATAATCTGTTCAATGAAGTATGTATCCCTAGGTTTATTAGGTTAAATCTAGTTTCGACTTCAAAATAATAACCAAAAACTAAGACTGAAAAGTTCAGATGCAAATATACACAACTAAAATATCAATTTTATGGTATACTCAATAGTATATTATAAAAAAAATAGAGTCTCTAAAGAAAGAACATAAAATAAGCTGCTCTCATTTATAGTCAAGACATAGAGAGCAAAAACAAACTAAAACGAAAAGAAAAGGAGAGCTCTCAACACTTCGATAAATTTACAATATCGATCAAACATAATATGCTAATAAGTAAAAAGTAATTAGTACAATAAGGTTATCAACAAAAATCTTAACATGCATAAAACATGCTAGAAATCCTCCATGCAAGCAGTTAGTTTCTGCAAAGCAGATGATACGAATGAAAAAGTACCTTGTCTGACGGTCATTGTCAGTAGTGTCAGCACCTCTTTCACTTCCAGCAAGATCAATGAAAGAAATCTTCCCCACAACCTTCCCACTTTTTGTCTCATTTTCATCATTCTTTCTCCTGCTCTCTTTTACTTCATTGTGCCTCTTTACAACCAGTTGTAAGATAGCATGTGACCTGGAGGACTCCTCATTCGCACCAGTGGATCCTGTACTCCTTGCTGCATTCCCTTTTTCGATGAAATCTTTGACAATCTGTACATCAGAAACTTCAAATTCTTGTAGTCCTACAATACAAACTTGCTGCCGTCCATCCTCTCTCATTAAGAGTTTCCTATTCAGAAAGTAGCATAATCGCTCAGCAATCTATAGACGAGTATAATATACAAGTTAATGCACTTAGTAAGCACTGTTAATGCATGCTAATTTGGACAAATGGATGTGCACAACTAAAAAAATAAACAATAAAAAACATGCTAGAATAGATAAGGATGAAGCTAGCACTGCTTGGGAAATCCAGAGGAATGCATTGCTGTGTTGTCCATGGGTCATTTTAAGTGGACTGAGTGTAACAAACAGTCTTGTGTAGGAATTTGTCATGCTGATTGAAGTAAACATTAAAAACACAACCTTCCAGTTAAGGCCTTGATCACAAATACTAAAACATACATGCCAAACAAAAAAAAAACTAAATGCCTGAAGAACATATAGAATTGCAACACCCAATCATGCATTTAAAACCTTAGTCGTAACGCTATCACACACAACACACCCTACTAAGGAAAGGAATACCTACTTCCTGTCACCAAGAAGATCATACAATTTTCCACCATATATCTCAAAGTAGCTAAGCCACAATTTAAATTTCTGGTTCCGGTAAACTGGTCGGTGCAACTGTCTAACAAGGTCATTTGCAGCTCTGAGCGGTAATGGTTGCATTGTGAATGTTTTGCCACTTCCTGAAAGTCAAAACACTATTAGCAAAAGCATCCCAGTAATGAATAAAGTTGATGGCTATACAAGGATAAAGTGGCAACAATGGAACATCAATGAACAACTTAATGTTGTGACAACAGCAGTTTGATTTGTATTCAACTTTTAATTTCCATTACTTGTATGGTTGCATCTACCACGAGAAATAACTGTGCGTAAGTCGAGGCCATTGATAGCCTTCAAACTCTAGCCAGTCATTATAAAATGAATATGTTATGATAACTTTGAGATGTTAAATATACTGAGCTCATTCCTATATTTCACAAAATACCCAGGAACAACAACACTACACAGGTAGGGAAAAAAGAAGAGCTTAATCTCTATCCTTTCTTTCTCCAGCCAGGCTTAGTATCTCCTGTTCTTTTATAAAGCTAAAAGGTTTGGAGTGTATAATTGGGATATGCTTATTATTTAGTACAAGTATAATATAAACAAAACAGGTAGCTTTGATCTTCTCACCTGTCTGACCATAAGCAAAACAGGTAGCTTTTGTCCTCTCAAAAATTGTAGGAATAATAGGTTCTACTGTAACTCGATATACCTATTATTGCAAAGCAGACATGCCTTAAATTAGCATCAGAGATAAAAAGAGGAAGGCAATCGATCCTATAAACAACTACAAAGGAGGGGGAGGGGAATCATTTTTTGATAAGGAGCTTCCTTACTTCATCATTGGTAACATTCTCATCAATAACAGCATCAAAACAGAATTCGTGCTTCTCGACATAAGCTGTCAAATCAACCTTTTCATCATAGGACAGACAATTAGATTTTTGAAAGGAAAATAAATATAAAAATTGGAATAGAATCCAATATTGAGTCAGAGGTAATTCAACCTTTGAATAAATATCGTTATAAATAAATGGTAAACATAGTGCTTGACTCCAATATCAACAAACCTTCACTTTAGGCTCATGAACAGTCAAATATGCATTGTCGCAGACCGTTACGACATCATCCTCCTTCTTAGCGAGCTCCTTTTTATTTAAAGGTCTTTTGCGTACCTAAAATATACATCAAGAGAAAAAACATATTATTTTTTCTTGGAGTAATTATAAATAAAACCTTCCACAATGTTAATGAATCCAAAAGTGCTTGTTAATCAAAGAAAAACAAGGTTAAAATGCTTATTTGCATTAAAATGTAGGAATCAATAATGCACCCATTCCATGTTATTTCCCAAATGATGATTGTTTTAGTGCAATTCTTACTCTAGTTTGGGAGAATTCATTATTAGAGGGAGAATAGGTGGTGGTATATAATTCAATAACCAAGTATAATTACAACGACGCAGGAGAACCATATCTTTCTACATGCTTTAACATCAAAGTACAAATTTATTGATGTATGTAAGGTTGCTGGAATACATAAAACATTGACATACCACCACTTTTATCTTAGCAACATTATTTTCTCTTGTATTACTGTCTTTTTCATGCACGGGTAAAAAATGTGACGCGTCAGCAATTGCTTCTCCTCCTTCCTGCTTGCTGCTGACTGAGTTGAAGTCGTCATCAAATTCTCTGGCACCTCCAGGCATAAAGGGTGATGGCTCAAAGGGTTCTGAGATAACATGCTGAAAAGAGTAAATAGATCAGAGGCAAATGAAACAAATGCAAACAAAAACACTTGTACTACTTTATGCAAGTTAGGGAAAATGAAGCAACAAAAAGGATGGATGAGATTAATCAGACACAATGAAATTGAAGCAGAATAGCTATTGGTTAAGTTAAAGGTCAAGGTTATTCAAACTCAAGCTATTGTTCAAACCGTTGCTTATATAATTGAGAAGACTGTCTAAATAGCGGCACATTAAATCATCATACCTCAGACAAAAGCTCTGTATCATCCATAGCATGAAGATCCATAAGACCAGCTCCAAAATCCCCCCTAAAGTCAGGAGAATAAAACCCATCTGATGCAGCCACTCCACCTAAAGTTTGGGAAGTAGGTGTATATGGTTCTGAACCAGATTCCCCATTAAAATTGAGACCTCTCATCAACTTTAAAAGCCTCTGTTTTTCTTCCGCAGACTGTGCTCCATAACCCTATAACAATGACAATATCATGTTTATTTAAGACATCACATAAACAAGTAAAACAACTATCATATCATAAACAATTACATGGGAAAATAAACAACATTTTGCATGTTGAACCAAAACTAATATTCCAGTCAAAGAAAGCTTCTTATTTACCAAGTACACATCTGTAACCCTCTAAAATAAACAGGGTTGATTTAGGTCAATGGTACAAAATTTCTAGTTATGCAAACTTATCCAAATCATGAAAGTCATTAGAGTACACGCAAAACCAGTATCCCTTATCTGGTAGATACAGCATTAAGGCATTCACTTCGGTATAAAAATTAAGGAAAACAGCAAAATAAATTGACAAATCTTCAAAACAGGGCACAACTGCAAATTAAAACCTAAAGGAGTTGTTATCAATGGAAAAAGCAGCGGTGATAATACCTGCATAAGAAGGTTGGGGAGAAGTCGTTGATCAATCGCATTTGAAGCCAACGGAGAGGCCAGATGCTGTAAGCCGGCAGACTGCAACCAGCGTGCCATAACAGCATCGCCGGCATCGGTTGCAGTCCCTGCCGCTGCACCGTGCAAGGGTACAGCGCCGGCGTGGTCATACAGAGCAGCCGCGGCAGCATTGCTCTGATGCATCTGACCGCCCATAAGGCGCTGTGACCGTCTTTGGGGCGCCAATTTTCAAGATCTGTTTACACACGCTTCTCACAAAACACAATCGAAAATCAAAACTCATAATCATCACATTAATAATAATAATAACAATAATAGTTAATAAACTACATAAAGATGATGATGAAAAGAGACTCACGATGAGGAGAGAATTGGAACCCGAAGAAGAACATGAAAGTGCGAAGCGAAGTGAACAACGTAGCGAATCCAAAATCGGCGAAAAGTGGAATCGAAGTAAAGAATTGAACGATGGAGTATCGAATCGAGATCGATGGTTTGAAATGATGAAGGATTGGGATTTTCAGATCTGAAAGTGGAAGAGAAAAGCAAAAGCAAAAGCGAAACCCTGAAAGTATGCAAAAGTAAGCGTCGCTTCGAATATCCCTTTCCGTTTGAATTGTTAAATTGTTATTTGTGCGAAGAAAATGATGATGATGGGAGATAGAGAAGATGAGAGAGAGAAGCAACAGCGATAACGAAGAGAAGGAAGTAGGCGTCGGAATGTGATGTAGTTTGTGAATGACAAGATACTGGAAATGGAAACTTTTTAGATATACTTCAATAATATGCCAGTAAAAAAGAAGATAACAATTAATTAAATAATAATATAATAATAATATGTTTTTTAAAAATAATTGTTAATAAAACGGCTACGACGGAATCAAAGTGTTTTTTTCTTCGAAAATAATTTGTTTTTATTCAAGTTTGAAAAAACTATTTCACAAAATTTATTTTAAAATAAATGTTATTTCATATTTGAACTATTAACGGTATAAAAATTTATACCAAATTTATAGAGTATGTTAGGTAATTTTTTATATTTTTAATTGAATATTTATTAATTTTATTAAATGAACCAATTAATTTATTTTTAAATAATTTTTTTCCTAAGAGAGAGGGTTTAAGTTGAGAAGAAAAAAAACTACAAAAACACTACTTTATTGATGATTTGTCTTCTAGCATCATCTTCAAGAAACTCAAGAATACAGTCTAGAGCAACATCAAAGATTCTCATTCTTCTTTACAAATTTCTTTCAGCTTTAGCTAACTCATCTGCACATTGATTCGCTTCTCTATACGAGTGAGTAAAATCGGTCACATCATGTATCTTCATTAGTCTCTTGATTAGGATAATCAAATCTAACATATGCTCTTATTGAAGTTATCCATTTTAATGATATTAATCACCTCCATGAAATTAACACTCAACTCCACATTCATATATCCCTTAACTAGAGTGATTTTGAGACCTTCATACACACCCATAACTCTGCCATGAATGGGTTACAGCTGCCCACAAACTTGAAAAAAACCACATAATCAAATGTCATGCTCACATCTAATGACGTCACCACACCCTGTAAAATTTCCATAACCACAAGCATCATCCACATTCAATTTCACCTTGTGATCTGCAGAAGGTATCCATCTAATTCTTTTAAATAATTGACACGTATCCAATAATATATTGTTCGTATGCATCGCATCAGAATACTCAAGGATCTTCGAGTTGATATAATTACAAGAATATGTCAGCCTAGCAAAGTTCTATGTGTGAGCTTCTCTATTCTACCAGTTCCAAATACTATGACAACCCACAACCCAGTAATTACACCAGCTTGTGTTAGAGTTATCACTTTCCGCAATGTTGAGCAAGATGCAATCCTGAATAGTTGCTTGAAAGAATTGGCTCCGCAATTTCTCAGGAACAGAATTCTCCCAAACATGCATGGCGACGGGGCAACCACGAAAAACATGCAACTATCTTTGCAAACATGGCCACAAAGATTACAACTTACGGCTCTAATACCACACTGACTTTTCCAAAAACTTGTGAGCAGACTATTATGGTTTAACAACCAAATAAAACTCCTGACTCTCTCAGGGAATTGCATCTTCCACAACTTATTCCAAATTTGTTTCTCCTTGGATCCTTCAATATGCTTCAGCTTGGTATACATCTCTCCCACAGAACAATCACTTCTGTTAAAAACTTGGATTGACATGACATCATCTCCTTGGTCTCCAATAGGAGGGAGAATGGAACGAATTTTATTAATGATAGGATAATGCAACCAATCATCTAACAGTTGTCAACTCCACTCCTCGTTATCATCCATCAAGCCAATAACTTTGGCTCCTTGCAGATCCTCAGGAATGTTCACGCTAAGATCTTTAATACACAAACCTGGAGTCAGCCAAGTGTTACCCTACGCATCAATGATTTTCCCATTTCCAATAATCCAGATACTTTCCTCCAATAATTATGGCATGCTTTTGATAATAGCATTCCATAGGCTAGATTCATAGCTTTTATAATTCAACTCTTCATGTAGATTCCTATTCTGAGAGTTACCTTTCATGACTTTACACCACAAATCCTCATAATTATTCATTAACTTGTATCCAAGTTTCATGATACATGCTTGATTCATAATCTCAAGATTGCGAAACCCTAGCCCTCTACTATATTTCAGCATGGTTACAGCTTCCCATGTTATATCATGCAACTTCTTCTTACTTTATGTGTCTCCTCGTGTAAAATTACTGTGTGGCTTCTGAACCTTTTTATACACGCTTTAGGTACAAGATTTGTCATCATTGAATAGACCAGAATTGCTTCCATGACACTCTTAGCCAAGGTGATTCTGCTTGCGAACGAACGATAAAAAGCTCTTCAACCTGCAAGTATGAATGAGATTTGCTCGACAATGTATTAAAAACCTCTCTTCTTCAAGGATCTGCCACTCAGAGGAACCCCAAAAACTTCCTGAAATCTTGAGTTTCTCTAAAACCATAAGCTTGCACCAGCTTAGTTCTAAGAACTCTAGTTACATTAGGAGAGAACAATATACTAGAATTGTTCATATTGATTTCTTGAACAACCAGCTCACAAAAGGTTTGGAGGGTTTTAATAACACATCTGATATACTTCTCGTTAGCTTTTCTGAACAACAACAAATTGTCAGCAAACATTAAGTGGGATATCTTAGAGCCATTTCTTCCTACTTGAAAAACACTTCACTTCTTCTCCAAAACTTCCTCCTCAATAAGGTGAGATAGTTTATCCATGCAAAGAACAAAAATATAAGGGGAGGTTGGATCACCTTGTCTAATGTCACGTTATGGACGAAAGAATTCACCTTTATTCTCATTCCAATTAATATTCGTCTCCACACTTGAGACCCGATGCATGATAATATTAATCATTGTTTCAAGAATATTAATTTATGTTAGCACACACCAAATACACCCCCAGCTTATCTTGTCATAAGCTTTATACAAATCAATTTTTATAATAAAGAAACCCTTCTTTCATTTCTTCTTGTGCATACAGTGCATGACTTATTTAGCAATGATTATATTTTCATGTATTGATCTATCGGGAACAAAACCAGTTTGATACAGAGAAACAATCATAAGCATATAAGCTTTCAATCTCTCCACTGTCACCTTGCTGACTACTTTATAAATTATGTTGAACAAGGAAATAGGGAGGAATTGAGTTAAATTATGAGTTAAATACTTTTCTGACCTTGATGAAGACCAGTCTACGCATTGCCCGCAAGGTGTAGGGCAGCTCCCCAGGATGATGAGTACGAGTTGTTTGTCTCTGCTTTCACGCAGGAATCCTGGCAGTTACATATTCTTGGACCTAAATATTCAGCCCAAAGATAGGAATCAATGTCTAAGTGATGGGGGAACAATAAATACCCTCACACATGTGTGGGTCATGTATTCAACTCTTTATCCTTTTTTCTCTCACGTATCTCTGCACTCTTACTTATTTGAGCATCAGAGTGCCTTACAGGTACACCCCCTCCTCGGTAAGATCAGTATCTAATAAAAAAACATCTACAATAACATAAAAAATAACATTTGTCAACAAAAACAAAACTTACCTTAACATAAACAACAACTTACCTTAACAAAACTACAACATACCTCAACAATAACTTAAACCTTATGTTGTACAAAGACAAATATTTCACGTATATTTTGAATAAGAAAAAGAAAAGAAAAAAGACACACATTTTGAACAACAACAATATCATAACTCATAAAATGTTTCACGTACGTACCTTTGCTTGAAAAGATTTGTGGAAATGAAGATAAAGATAAGAGTAAGTTATTTGTCTCGTGACACCATTCCTTGATTCATACTAGTTGGAGAAGTTATGTTGGAGTTTTGTAAAATTATGATCGAGTTTTCAGAGATTGGGATAAGGAGAGAGAAGTTATGGTTTCACTTTGAGCGCATTCTATTATGGAGTAAATTAAGTTAGCTTAAATAGGTAATATATTTTACTACGTTTGTTAATACAAATAGTGGTGAATTGTCCCGATATTTCACCACAATTGTTAATCTTGACCACGGTGAAAAATGTTTAATTTTTATTTTAAAATAGAAATTAAAGGAACATGCCCTTTTTATAACTAAAAAATAAAATTACATGTGTTGGGATTTGAAGTGTGTTACTCTTCTCATATCACAACAATTGTTTATTTTAACCATGATTATATGTGGTTTAAAAATAATAAAAAAATGAAAGATGCCTGAAGAATATATATTACTTCAGTTGGTTATATGTGATATATGTGCTTTTTATAGTAATTATGGATGTGAAAAATTGAGGGAAGAAGCATTTATTTATAGGCTAGAGGTTGGCACAAAAAGAAAAGGATTCATGGGCCAAATTAATGGTCTAATTGACTGGGTCTTCATGCTAATATATTAGATACCCCAAATAATCGATTGTAAATTCACATTTTGGAAAATTTGGATAGAGAGTTATTTTCCTTCATTTTGACATTGTCACAATAGATTGTGGGTATCATTTCCCTTAACCAATTAATTGGAAATTGATTGGGCAGTTTGAAAAATGTTCCCTAATCATTATGATCATTCCCAATTCATCTAGCTTGGCTCCAAAATATTTTTAGGTTAATTTATTTGATTAATAAAGGCTTTAAAAAGGTTAAAGTGATTTTATGATTTAGCCATAATACTATAAAAAACACCCATGTGTTTTTACAAAACACGGATCACTCATACGCGATCAGGCGAGCTTTCACACTTCCTCTCTTTCATACTCTGAAGCTTCAAGAATTTTCTGAATACAACAATCTTATAATCACTTGTTTGAGTCTTCTTCGAGATGAGGCCTGAGATATCTTCAAGTTAGATTCCATCATTGGTGGTCATTAAACCCTAACTCTTCGATTTTATTTGGAGGAAGAGCTTTGGACAAATTGTCGTATGCATCTTTGACGGCTTGACATACTTACTTGTCTTTATGCTTTAAGGTTAGATTGAATTTTCATAAGTTGTCATCAAGGATTGCATCCTCACAAATTTCCATCATCAAAACCGAACCATGATAGTGATGATTTGCTTAGCTTTTAATCCTTTCTTAATTAACATAACAAGCACATAGTTCCATAACTTTTACATTCTTAATGTGACGTTGAGACCCAATATGTCCCTTTTTAATACAATAAAGATAAATAACATTAGGAAAAACATTCTTTCTATTATTTCTAGTGACACAAATATTTTCCTTATCGGGCTTTCTAAAACTTTGTCCATCGTCCCTTGAACTAACAGAAACAAAAAAAAGTGTGTTTTAGAGAGTTGTATTATTTATCTTTTTCGAGTTATCAATTTTAATTTTTAAACTAAGAGAAGTATCAAACTTATTTAACTAAACCTTTTATTCTAAAGTATGATAAACACACAACTGATCATTCACTATAGATGCATGGTCCCCTTTTAATGACTCAAGAACACCCTTAAATTTTAAGATTTCTTCCTCAATTTTTTAAATAAAAAAAATCTTTGGAGGGAGATTTTCATAAAATCACTTAATATCTCAGCCTGCATCTTTTGGGAAGCATTGGACATGTGATTATTAGAAGGTATGGGACATGATTCAAAATCACTTACCTAGGAATCTTTCTTTTTATGATGCATCATTAGACATAGATGAGGTATTTCATCTCCTCTGAGTTGTTATTGGAAAAGGATGATTCTCCATTTTCTTCCAAATATATGTACGCTCTAATACCTTTGATATTGTTTCCCTTCATTTTTTAGAATGGTTGATTTCCTCCGCACTTCCTCAAACTCGGACAATCGATTTTGAAGTGTTTGGGTCTGCCGCACTCATAACATGTTACCTGTTTTTCTTCCCTCTTCTTATCATCCTACTTCTCTTGGGGATTTGATTTTATGAAATTTATCAAGTTCAAGTTAGAATGTTTGAGATTATTCTTCCTCATATTTTTATTATATTGTCTCACAAATAGTCTCGCCTCTTCATCTTTTGAGTAGTCATCACTAGATTCATCTTCCTCGTCTTCGACTTTAGCCTTGGAAAATCCACCATCTGGGAATTGCTGCAAATATTGTTGTATATGACCAAACCTTTTTTCTTACTAATGGTAGCATAAACCAGTCATTAAAATATAAATAAAATATTGGTTTATTTTGAACACGTGTGGTTATATTCATAGAGTAGTTAGCTTTTAGGTACAAGGCATGTTATGAGTTTTTAGGTACAACAACGGAAATGAGGTTTGAACTTATGCCCTACTATCCAAGCCATTCACCCCGCAATAAAAATTAAAAATTCATAAAATGATTAAAACTATCGAACAAGAATGATAACTTAAGTAAAATAAAGAATAAAAGAACACACACATGGTTTTCTTCCTCAAATTAATACAAT